TGGATAGATGGATAGATAGATAGATAGCGTGTTGTTGGGGGTTCAGTAGAGGACAGTGGGCTCAGCTGGAGGACAGAGGGAGCAGATGAGAGTTGATGGGAGGGTGTGAGAGGAGGACGGCAGTAGATGAGCAAGGAGGGCAGGAGAAACCTCTGGCACCAAACTCAGTTAAGGAGTAAACAAACAAACATATGGTCTGTGTGCAGTTTATCCTGCAGCTCCTCATTATGTAACATAGGTGACACGTGTAGTGAAATAAGGAAGGAGTGATTTCTTTATACTGGTTTCAGAGTGTAGTCAATACGTGTTCTTCTGGTTCATCTCCTTCACCTTATTTTTTTTCGACCAGGGCGGTACAGATTTCCTTCCTTCCAAATCCTTAACAGTGTTACCTCCGAGCCCCTGCACCACGTGAGAATCAGCCCTGGCCGCCAAATAGGTGAACTAGACAGTAGAGCAGACTCTCCGTCACACGCATGGTTCGAAAGTCATACTGCTGGATCGATGCACCTCTTAATCTCCTGCAACCACCGTCCGCAACCCATCTATCGCAGCTGTATAATCTCTGTGGTTGTGGACACTGTGTTCGCAAACAGCAGCAGAAGCCTGTTACTCTGAAGAATCTCAGTGGGAAACGTTTACATTCAACAACATTAGAGCGTTTACCCTCATCCACCATTAACAGCCATTATGCCATTAGTTACTGAATATTGATGCCCGCATCACCAGCATCTCCACAATCATGATATCAGGTTTCCTATCGATGAAATCATAAATCTGTAAAAATGGCTCTTATCTGCCAGGGTCAGGACATGAAATACTGCTCTCTCTCTCTCTCTCTCTCTCTCTCTCTCTCTCTCTCCTTCTCTTTCTCTCTCTCCTTCCTTCACCCTCTCCTTTCAGTCCACAGTGAGTCAACTAAGAGAAATATGTGGGCTGATCGATACCACCAATGTTACTTTAAAGATGAGCATCACTCATCCCTTCCACATATTCCCTTCTTTCTTCAGTGTTTCTGTCATAAAGGCATTATTTGAAACATATTTGTGTTTGACCAGAGTTTTAATAACATTCGTCACCCTTGACAGTCTGATAATCAATAGCACTGATGTTGAGCATCCGGTGTAAAGCAATCAACGCTCACTGTTCCATTTAATTGCATTCAAAACAGGGGCAGACGTAGACTTGGATAGAAACCGAGCTCTTATAGATCTTTTATTATGAGACCACAGAACTGTGTCAGCATTTTTCTCTTTGTTGAACAGACTCGCCCTGTTCATAAATTAAAACTACATGAAACTCAGAAGCAAGGCAGCTGGAAAACTTGTTTATTGATAGTCAACTTGTTAAACAACAAAGTTATTCAGAGGAGAGTGAATCCCTCCACCAAAACCTCATCTCTTACATATTTGTAATTCTAATGGTAGAAAATAAATCATGGCCAAGTAACTTTACACCAAAGTGAAATGTTCTTTCATATTCTATGCTTGGAACTTTACTTTTTCTTCGCTGTCTGTTTGTTGATTGGACAGTTAGTTAGTTTTTGGTCAGCAGGCTTAATCAAAAGCTTCGTGGATTAACATTAAACTTGGAGGAATGAGACATGGGCCAAAAAATGATCCATGGAATTTTGGGGTGTATCCAGACAAAGGGGGTGGATCAAAGGGGTGGACATTTTCTTTAGCACCATTACACAAAAACAAATAGCACAGATTTTGACAGGAATTTGCTTTTGCAAAATAGGGTGTATTTTGGACATTTTAACCAATTTACCAGAGAGTTACTCATGGATCTTGATGAAAAAATCAGGCAAATTAGGAGGACTGCTATCTATGAGTGTGTGCAATTTGAGTACCGTGATAGAGGTATGGGCTCTGAGTGCCAGTCTTGGTACGTCTTCCCTGCTGTCCATTTGTTTGATTGTCAACAGGATTACACAACAACTACTAAATGGATTTCCACAACACTCCTGAGGACAGGATATGGGCTGAGACAGGGCCTATTACATTTTGGTGCAGATCCAGACAACGGGGGTAATGATATCTTGGCAGAGGTATGTGCTCTATGGAGTAACATCCTAGTTGCTTTTGACAACTGGTATCTGAATCAGAAAAAATTAGGAGCCTGAAATCTGAGTGCTTCAATTTGGTTCGGCTTGGTTGAATTTAAGGGGACTGACTGTTGGGCTTCCATAGGTTTGCATTCTATTGGGTTCTTTTCTAGTTTTTCTTATCAGTGTGTTTTTGTTGGTTTGTTGTTGTTGTTTTAAAGATATTCTGTTAAAAATCAAACCATGCACCCAACCAAACAAATGTAGACATGGCATAAAAGGCTTCAGCAAAACGACACGACCAAGCACACAGATCTTATAAAGCCATTCCATCTAAGTAATATTTTTTTGTGGGATAATTTACAAATGTACCCGTCTCTTATGTATCCATCCTGTCGATGTACTTTATTCTCCGAATGTTTCTGATTGACTGATTCTGACTGATGAGCGCACATCGTTGGTCCCTCAGCTGGAAATCTCCAAAAAGAATCCTGCTCTTTAAAAAGGCAGCAGACTGAACTGAACTGTGTGGATACAGAGCACAACTACAGGGCATCTTCCTTTTTAAAAAACAAACAAATAGCAAAGTTAGTGACCAAAATACATAAAGTCTGTGCACACCTGAACAAACACACGCTGTGAATCCCTCAAACCACCTTTGTTTGATTGTGTGCTCCGTCTGTTGGTCTGTCAGTTATCTAGCTTGTCCAGTGAAAGAACGATAGCAGAGGTTTTTTTTGATTTTTGCCGTGAACAGTGAGGTACTACAAAAAAGGCAGACAAATGATTTGAAAGCTTTTTGTCCTTTAGGCTGAGGCCACACACTCTAAATGAGGTCTCAAGAGAATTCAAACATAAAATACCAAAACTTACAGGTCGGATTATACGACAGCAGCACAGAAGAAGGAGTGAGAGGATGGATGGATGGATGGATGGATGGATGGATGGATGGATGGATGGATGGATGGATGGATGGATGGATGGATAGATAGATAGATAGATAGATAGATAGATAGATAGATAGATAGATAGATAGATAGATAGATAGATAGATAGATAGATAGATGGATGGATGGATGGATGGATGGATAGATAGAGTAGATGGATGGATGGATAGATAGATGGATAGATAGATAGATAGATGGATGGATGGATGGATGGATGGACAGATGAATAAAGGATGGATATATAAAGGATAAATGGATGGAAGATGGATAGACAGACAGACAGACAGACAGACAGACAGACAGACAGACAGACAGATTGATATTTTTGAGCAATAATATATTTCCACTTGTTTTTCTCGTCTGCTCCCCTTGTGTCATCCCCAGCCTCTTTTCCTACTTTGTTCACTTTCTAAGTTCCGTAACCTCTTTTAGTCTGTCTCTGGGGTGCAGCTGTAGCCTGAACACACTTTATTTTCACTGATGTTTTCTCTGCTCTCCCCCTTTGTGAAACGAACGGGCTCATATAAACCAAGTTAACGAGGCCAGTAGGGGTTGGACTGACCAAAAATGAAAAACGAGATACTCTCTGCTGTGGCTTTAATAAACGGACAATCAATTTTGATATATGTGTAGCTATAGAGACTTTTCAATTGTGATCTAAGTGTAGTGCAATCTATGTTCTCTATTGTTCTACCACAGATCAGAACTGTTGCCTCTCTCTCTCTCTCTCTCTCTGTGTCTCTGTCTCTCTCTCTCTCTCACTCAACATTTGACCTTATTGTGTTATCAGTTCTTTTCAAAAGTCAGTTTAAAGCCTAAGAGCTTCAGCCTTGGTTCTTCATAAACCCCACTGTCATTATGCTGACCTAGTAAAGTGGTTGGTGCATCTGGAGTGTTTGATGCATAATTAACAAGCGGGATTGCTGAAGCTGGATGCAGCAGCTTCACAGAGTCAGACAGAGGTGGGAGAAGGTGCGAGGACAGGAAGGTAAACGCCTTGTTTTTGCTTCAAGGAAGACTCAACAGCTGCAGACAGAAAATCTCAGAGGAAAACTTCTCAATGCTGCAAAATGACTCTACAGTGTGAGTCAATGTGTGATGCTGTTTGATTGCAAAATTACTGTAGTTGATGAGGAGCTTTGAAAGAACAAACGTGATGATCCTGAAACCTGAAGCTGCCACTTCAGTGAGTGACTAACCTCATAAGGCTGCGCATTCATTTGATTTCTAAGGAAAGCCTTGACATTATAAGCATAAGGAAAGAGCACCCAGTAAAGCAGATAGGTCAGTCCTCTTATTAAACCTAGATAGCACAGATAGCAGTCCCCTGAATATGCCAGATTTTTTTTCATCAAAATTCATGAATTATTCTCAGAAATCAAGGAAAATGTAAAGAAAACAAAACAAACACAACACCTGCCTCATCTGGCAGTGTTGGATAAAATGAAAAATCGATCCGGATCGACACCAAAATGTACTGGGTTATCTTCTGACTATTACATGCATCAGAAGGTTTCAATCATTTAGTAGTTTTTTTTTTTTTTTTGCATAATCCTATTAACAAACAAACAAATAAACAAACAAACGGACAGGGGTGAGAACATAACCTCCACCAAAGTTTGCCAAGTGCGTTAAAATCGCTCCATGGATAAATAGTGACTCCTTTTGCTGCCCACCCCTCATTAATTTGACAACACTTAAATTCAACATATCCGTTTCTACATGTAACTGACTATAACTTTATTTTGGCACAATGAGCAGCCTCCTGTTCATCCTGCTCCTGCCGGAGATAAGAGATTTTCACCGCAGCTGCTTTTTACGCACGGCGGCCGCACACTGCGCGCATCATCCTCAGCAGCAGCAGCGGTGATGGAGGCAGCGCGGCAGAAAACACCTCTTCTGTCTCTTTTGTAATCGACTCCTTGTTCCCTCACGCATCAGCCTCAACTGTGTTATTTCATAAAAAAGCGAAATGAACGCACCGACCCGCAGAGCTGACTTACCTTGACTTGTCGCGGCTCCGGAGAAGTGTGGGTGCGCGTGTTTGCAGCTCCCCCTATCCAAAATAAATGGAAACTCTGGTCCTCCTACTTGGTACCTGGAGTCGAAGTGGGAGAAGCAGAAGAAGAAGAAATGATAATGATACTAATACTTGCTGACGTACAGAGAGCGTCAGAGAAGTGAAGTAACCGCAGCCACTGCTCTGGCAGGACTGTCTGTTCTTCGGTGAGAATTATAGTTTGCTTGTTTCTGACTGCCGCCCTCCCTCCCACTCACTCACTCAATGTCTCCCACCCATGAGAAATAATCTCTGTGTGTGTGTGTGTGTGTGTGTGTGTGTGTGTGTGTGTGTGTGTGTGTGTGTG